GAATGTCGAGCCCGAGTAGAGCCAGACAGACCGGACCGATAATGACCCACGGTATCATGAACTCGTGCAACACACCCGAGCCCAGACTCCTTTAAAGTCTCACTCAAGAAGAAGTCTGATGGTCAAGAATGAAGTCATATCGCTGCCTTAGAATTAAAAAGTTCTATCTGACATTTTGGGCTGCTTTGAGGTAGACTACTAGGACAAGGACAGATCTGTCCCCACGGTCTTGTGCACCCCGCATAATTTAGCAAAATTTGATCATTCTGTTAATTTCCTTTATCATTCTTTGTTAAAATTAACAGAATCGCATAATTTCACATTTTTTGGGCTCAGTTTGCATAATTTCAGAATTTTTTTTGCATAAAACGACGGGGACAGACAGACCAAGAGGCCAGAAACAAAAGGTACTATTTGCTCAAACAAAATCGAAAGATTGTTCTGAGTCGTTTTCAAAATATTCGAAGAATTGCATTCGAAAAAGCTTGGCATGTTGTGAAACTCAAACCGTTAACGTCAAATTTCTCAAAACCGGATGGAACGTTGTAATTCAGGGTAGCGATATATTTACCCCCCCCCCCTCATTTCTCTCCAAAATGTGTGATGACATGTCTTGTGATACCAGCGGTGTACGCAGTACATGTATGTGTCACGTTGTGTGTGGTGGACGGGCCTGATGAGCTCATTCATGTGACCCGGTACTCTCGATCCAATAACGATGGGCGTGTTTGTTTCCTATTGTGCGCGCAGAGCAATTTGAATTCGAGACAGTTCTAAGGAAAAAAATTATCGGGCCTGTCTAGATGAGCAGCATCTGTTCGACTCATCCATGCAGGTATTCGAATTCGAGAAAACAGTTCTGCTAGTACAATTTTTTTCTAGATGATTGTTCATGGCAGTCAGGAAACGGCACAATGTTCGAGCCATCCTTCAATTCGAGTTTTGCGTATACATGTATCTCTGTTCTCGACTGTATATCATTATATTATATATATATATATATATAAGTGTGTATGTTTGTAACACCCCTCTCCCCCACCGTCAGTTATAATATCATGCACATTTTGAGGGTCAAGCGGATTATCTAAAAGAAGAGCCAAGTGTTTGTCGTGCAACGTTTTTTTTTTCTTATATTTTTTTATACTACAACTATTTTTTTGCTGTTGTTTTAATTGTTATTGTTGTTTCGCTTTTTGTCATATTTATTCGATTTAATTTTTAGGTGTCAGGAATATTTATTTTTAATAAGCCAGTTGTAAATATGCCTCTGGTTTGAGAGCAGCATAGACATGCAGTGTAGCTTTCTTTCATGTACATGTATCTGTATACCTCAGCTCTGTTTCACGATGAGTGTAAAAATTTTTTTACTAGATTATTTTCACTTGTCTGTGTATGTTACTGTTAGTGTTACACGCATCATGTACATATCTGCAGTTGCTTCTATTTTTGTAGTGTAAATAGACGCACGTCGACATGGTAACAGCTATGCCAGGGCCAACCCAGACTTTTTTCCCCGTAAGAGTTTTACCGCACTTGCAACACAATAAGTGCCGAAGAATAGATGACTTACAAGAGAGTAACACACACAAAACAGGAGGAGAGATAAGGACGATGGATGTTTGATAGGAAAGAAGGAGCCAACCACACCAGAGCACTCGACAACCACCCACCAACCCAGACTGAGAATACGACAACGTCCCAGTGTCCGAGAAGAAAGACCAAGAAACTCGATAAAAATAGGAGGAGGCGAAAAAGAGGATAGAAAGTGATCTTTATCAAACATTTATGATGTATGCACATTTTGTACAGTTGTAGTTATCCATTGTACTAAACCATGCCATATATTGTTGTTTTTGAACAAATAATAACAAAATAATAAATACCTGGGCGATTTACAATTTACAGATTAAAATTGCTCAAATTCCCGGGTCTTAGTGATTTTTATTGAAATTCTCGGGAGCTGGCAGTCACCCTGGAGTGAGGGGGGG